CTAAGTTTTCCCATGATATGTTTTTCACAACTGGTAACTCTGGGTTTGCTTTTTCCCAAGGACATAGTGGAATCTTTCAGGATGAAGTCTCAGCTTTTTATTACAGGACATCGTCTTCACTTATAGTCTTACATCTTAGGTCTATTTCACTGTTTTGTTTTTCTTCTAGGATTTCACTTATATGAGTGTTAACCACTCTTTTTTCCATCTGCTGAATTTATGCTTCCTCTCTGATCTCTAACGCCTCCCTACAGTTTCATTTTCTTGAGTCCTTTTATTGCCATCCTTGGTGCCTGTTTCCATACTTTCTGTTGTATCTGCTCTCCTTTGGGCATGTGAGACAATTTTGTGTTTTTCTTCAGTTTTCTCCCTGAGTTCAGTGAGCTCCCATTGCACATGGTACTTGTCCATTTTTCTTCTGAGCTCGGGACGCTACGGTTTGCAATCCTCCTTCATGTGATGCTGCTTGTTTATACCTAACTAGTGATGGGGATGCTGTTACAATTTTCCCCTGCTTTTGGCTTTTTATCCGGATTGTATGTATTGTGTATTTTTATTTGCTGAACAGTTTTCCAAGTTTTCTTCTGAAAGTAATTTGTATGCATGCTTTATGTGTTTGAATTGCATTTCGTTTAATAAGACACTTTTTTTTTTTTTTTTTTGGACGTCTTCTGGTTCTTTGACAGCATCTTGCTTGAAGAGGGCTCTTCTCTTAGCTCCTTCTTTTCCTTCACTGCCACGCCTCCAAGGGAAATCTACTTCTAAGGTGCCCCTGTTCTCCAGCAGTGTCTTCTGTCGCCTCTGGGTCCAAACCTTTCCGTATCTCTTCCTTTTGACTCCACCAGGTCTCAAGTCTTCCCTCAGCATTTCTCCAAGCAAGGTGGGTCTCTCTCCTGATGGGCATGAGCCCTAGATGCGGCCTGTTTTTACCGCCATTAGGATGGTACCAGTTTCTCTTTCCCATACAGTCTCCGCCTGGATTTATATATTTTGATTTGGGGCTTGATGTCAGCTCTTCTAGTCGAAGATGTTTATTTTCCCACTGACCTTTCATTGAAACGTCAGTAAACTTCCCTGGTAAACGGTAGGTCTGAGCTACAAGTGACTTTGTTTATTCTTTTCCTGAACAGTTCTTTTTTTTAAAATTTTTTTAAATTTATTTTTGAGAGACAGAGAGTGAGCAGGGGAGGGGTAAAGAGAGAGAGAGAGAGAGAGAGAGAGAGAGAAGGAGAATCTGAAGCAGGCTCCAGTCCCTGAGCTACCAGCACAGAGCCTGACGTGGGGCTTGAACTCATAAGCTGTGAGATCATGACCTGAGCCGAAGTCAGATGCTTAACCAAAGGGCCACCCAGGTGCCCCCTGAACAGTTCTTGTTAAAAATTTTGTTTAATGTTTATTTATTTTCGAGAGAGAGAGACAGACAGACAGACAGAGCGCAAGTGGGGGAGGTCCAGAAAGAAAGGGAGACACAGAATCCGAAGCAGGCTCCAGGCTCTGAGCTGTCAGCCCTGAGCCCGATGCGGGGCTCCAGCCCACGGACCGTGAGATCATGACCTGAGCAGAAGTTGGACGCTCAACCGACCGAGCCACCCAGGCGCCCCTTTTCCTGAACAGTTCTTAAAGGATGTGGGGCGAAATCTCAACTGAGGCGGCTGGGATTACCCGCTGGCATTTTTATCGTGGAACGGTTTCCTCCCTGCTAACTCTATGGGAGATCAGGAGTAACACTGGTCACACTGGAGGTACGGGTAGAGCACGGTTGCAAATAACAGGAAAGGAAGAAAAGATTCCTCGAGAAATGCCTTAACATGAAGCTGCACATTAGAAATGGGGGGAATCAGCCCTCACGACATACCTACCATCCGCCGGCCAATAAATCTTTATTACAGCCCATTCTGTGCTGAGAAGTGGGATGGGTCCCCTTGGGAAGTGAGCACTGACTTCAATACACTGATTGGAGGGGCATCTCAGCTGCCACGTGGCTACCCAGTTACCAAAACGGTGCCGACGTTCACCCCAGGAACCCAGCACTGAAGCTAGATTCAGGGGTCTGATCCGGGTCTCAAATCCTTACCAGAATCACCAGAAGCCACTCGCCAAATCCACTCAGAAACTATTATTTTCTTCTGTTTGTTCCTTGTTTACCAAAGTAACACTATCTGTCAAGTACATCATGGGACATCCATACGATGGGCCATCATGCAGACGTTATAAACTGGTCGAGTCTTTTGCACTAAGGGGAAAAAAGAATACAATTTACAAATACAAACTTGTACTAAACTGTATGCCGTAGAATGCAACAGCTCCGCAGTAAGCCTGGGAAACGTGGCACAGACTGTCTAGCTTTCAGAGATTCACAATGCACATCATCCTTTCAAAGGCTCTGAGAAGTCCTGTAGTAAAAGGCCAGTTTAACTTTGTCTAATCTGGCATTTCCTACACGTTTTTTGATGGTGAACTGTTTGTCATGGCGGGCACCAAATAACACTTAACAAACCCTTTGCGACACACGTAGAAGATCTGAACCAGGTAGCTGAGAATACATGTGCGGAGAAGCCGGTGGTAGGATTGTGGGTGATGTTTTCCCCTGCTTTGTACGGATCTATTCCTTCCACAGGCTCTAAATGTTAAAACACATAATGGTTTAAAACATAATGACTGAAAGCCTCCAACCGCTGCCTCAAGTGCTCCTGGAAGTAACGAGGCATGCCAGTAGGCCCAGTCGGCCTCTCCCCAGCCCGCGGGCCCCACACCACTTCCCCAGGCCCCTGAGCTCATTCTCAGCCCGTAACTTGCATCATGTGTTTTAGCACTAAATTTCATCTTTGGTCCTATGGTGTTCATCTATTCATTCAACAAACATCTGCTCATGCCTCGGGTTGAGATTATGGCAGGGCGCAAGAGTACCCACTGTCCTGACCTCGTGACCTCTGCTGTCGCAAAACGATCACACCATTGAATATACAACTACGGGGAACGCATCTCACCGGGAGCAATGGCTGAACTAAAAAGTTCCTTAGATGAAACGGGAGCTGACTAAACAAAGATGCGAGGAAAAGCATCCCACCTTTGGGGGAAGGGAGAGAACACGCCTGCACAGGCCCAGCGGCAGGAGGAGACACAGGCTGTCTGGGCATCTGAAAGGCTGGAGAGCAAGGGGAAAGTGAGGGTGATGGGGCCAGATCACGCAGGCCTCGCGAAGGCCACGCAAAGGAACTTTTTCTTATTTTTTTTCCAAAACGTTTTTTATTTTTTTTTTTTTTTTTTTTTTTTTTTTATTTTTGAGACGAGAGAGACAGAGTGTGAACAGGGGAGGGGCAGAGAGAGAGGGAGACACAGAATCCGAAGCGGGCTCCAGGCTCTGAGCTGTCAGCACAGAGCCTGATGTGGGGCTCGAACTCACAGACTGTGAGATCATGACCTGAGCCGAAATGAAGAGTTGGATGCTTAACCGACTGAGCCCCCTTGGGCACCCCATGATGATGATACGCTAGGATCAGCCAGTGGTTTTGCTGTGACCACCACCCACCCCCCCCTGCCACCCCACTCCTCCTTGCAACCATCAGTTTGTTTTCAGATGCGCTTTGACACCTGACAGTCCTGTGCTGGCCCTCGGACACAGAGAAGTGCATCAGATGCAGCCCTGGCCCCCACGGGGCTCACAGTCTGTCGGTGGGGGCGGGGGAGACAACACAAAACCGAGAATCATCACCTCGAAGCACTGGCCTAGCCGCTTACCTACACCAAGCAGCTGGCGAGTGCAGCCCCGTGAATGGTGGCACCAGACAAAACCAGAGCTCAGTGTCTCAGGCTTTTCAGCAACCAGCCTCACCTGCTGAAGAGCCTCTCACCAGCTGGGAAACGAATGACGGCCCAGCTGTAGAAATCAGAGAACATCTTTAGATCACAATTCACTTCTCTATGAAGGGCAGGCCACAGCTAGTTTCCGTCACTGAGATTAACCTCTTTTCTTGTCCACAAATTAGATCTACCGGTTTTGCTTCACTTTATGGAATGAAACGGAAACTTTAAGGTAGCATTCCCTGGAGCTGAATTTGGTTCCAGGAAAGGAGAAATCGCACAGGCCAATCACATTCTCACAGGTAAAGCAGAATTCACCTTCCTGGGTTCCTTTTCTTGTTTTTATTTTTTATTTTAAAGAGAGAGAGAGAGAGAGAGAGAGAGAGCAAGAGCATGTGAGCAGGGGCGAGGGGCAGACGGAGAGAGAATCCCAAGCAGGCTCCACGCTCAGGGAGAAGCCTGATGGGGCTCGATCCCACGGCCCTGGGATCATGACCTGAGCCAAAGTCAAGAGTGAGATGCTCAACCAGCTAAGCCACCCAGGTGCCCCTCACCTTCCTGGTTTTTGCACATCGCATTAATCATCACGTGGGAGAACGGGCTGCTTTGACCTCGTAAAATAACCTCTCCTCAACCATTTGAGGACTGGTTCCCCCACGTCATTCCCAGTCCATCTCAACACTCCAAAGGACCCATCTCCTCTTTAACTCAATGGAAGCCCTCAAATTGGCTGCAGGTTGCTAGAAATTATATCTACCTTTGATGGGGCACCTGGGTGGCTCAGTCAGTTAAGTGTCAGACTTTGGATCAGGTCATGAACTCACGGTTTGTGGGTTCGAGCCCCACTTCGGGCTCTGGGCTGACAGCTCAGAGCCTGGAGCCTGCTTTGGATTCTGTGTCTCCCTCTGTCTCTGCCCCTCCCCCATTCCAGCTCTGTCTGTCTCTCTCTCTCAAAAAAAAAAAAAAAAATAGACATTAAAAAAATTCAATACCTTTGACACCATCCGTGCCTATGTTGTGACATGTAACTTTAAGTCTCATATACCAGCACCCTCGATGAAAGCCAGACCCACACCTTCCAGGAGAGCTATTGCCCTACAGCAGTCATGATGAGGACAGGCCACGCTGGTCACCTGGAGAGCTCTCTGTGTCTGCTCAATAGGGAAACAGCTGGGCTTTTCAGAAACAGTAAAAACCCGAGAGTTTTAAAGGATTTATTTGATTTCTCCACATGATCACAGCTATGGTTTTACATCAATAGAGTCTGTTACTACTCACAAACAGAATGTGTATTAAAACAAAAGCACTCCCTTCCTGCCCAAAGTTACACAGCGGGTGCCGGGCCTCTGGCGAGGGAGGTGTCTCTCGAAGTCTTTGGAAAGTCTGCAGTCAAGACCTGATGCTAACCGTTTAAAACAACTAGAAGGTGGACTACAGTTCCCAAGAGGAGACGGGTCCTGTGCGGGACCTCGATGCGACCGCGGTTAGGCTAACGTGTGTCCCTTCGTGGGTAAGAAAGAGGCACACGCCCCTCCTCCCACCTGTCCCTTTCCACCACCCCCCACTTGGCACTGATCCGTCTCGAAATCTGTTTCCTGGATTATTGTTGTTATTGGAGATACTTTACAAAATTCCTCAGTTTTCAGGCAGGAAGAGTGATGGTATTTTACAACGAAACCGTAAGATGCATGCTTACCCGTAGAGACCCAGCTTTGCAGGGAGTGCCGAGTCAACACCTAGGGTCGTGTTTACATATCTGCTGTCTTTTCAGCTCGTTTTAAAGACAAACAAGAGGCTTCTTCTGCATGCAGCGCGTGATGGAAACATCGCTCTACGCTGGGTGACTGAAGACATTTTTAAGCAATATGTGCACATCATATTAGGATGAACTTTATTTTTACATTGTTGTACAATTCATTCGTAAACTTAAAAAAAAAATACAAACACATGATTTAATTGTTGTCCCAGAAAAGATTTTTGTGATGCTACCTGCCGCTTCCTCTACTCCTGCTCGTGTCGGAAATGACCGTTTCACTGGAACAATTTGCACGACTTGAGAGAAAGGTCCCAAGTGTGTCCTGACGGTGGGGAAGGAGGACACAAACGTCCTGCTCGGCGTCCTGCTGCCTATCCCCGGGGTGGGGGGTGGACGGCAGGCCCCCACAGCGCTGATCCTGTGGCAGGCTGGGGTCTAGAAAGAACAATCCCACGAGAGCGCGACCCGGGGGGTGGGGGCCCGGGGGGCGCAGGAAAGCAATCTGTCGGCAGTTTTTGCTTCCCAAACGAGATTCCGGGCAGCGTGGCTCCAGCCTCCTTGGAAACACTCCCTGGAGACGCTTCCCACGGTAAGCGTGTAAATCAAACAAAGAATGATGAAGCCTCGCTGACCTGAGCCCAACACGCTATACAAAGTTGGACACATGGGGAGAAAGGGAATTGGTTCGAGAAGCCCCCTTTCGCTAGATCCGGCCGTGTGGCCACCAGACCACGCTTCAGGACACACGGACGGCAGTTTTGGAAGTAAGGGTTCTGAGTGGCCCGTGGTGCACGAAGGACGGCGATGGAGACAGCGCTCCCCTACCCGACCCCATCGGCTTTGCTGTCCACCCTTTTTCATCGGTGGTCACCCCTTCAGAAAGGGCAACCTTGTGCCAAAGAGCCTGCATCTTTTCTGGAACAACCTCGAGTTTACAGGTAGACTCTACTATCGGTACAGAGGGTGAAGAAAGGCTGACATATTTAATATGTTATCACTTTACTTCAACTATTTGTCAACAGTAACACTGATATAGTTTGCAAATACACAATACATAGAGTGTGGCCTCACACGACTGACGCCAGATGGCATGCAGTACAATTCGACTTCTCCTGGTCAGAACAACAACCTTTAAACTGCAAGACAGAGAACGCCTCGGGGAGCCTGATTCTGCAGGAAAACCAAGGAATCTAGGAGCCGGTGGAAGTGGGGAGCCTCCCACCAGCCTGGCCTGGACCAGATCAGACGCACCCGTGCTTTGTACACGTCCCTCCTTCCGAGCAGGTGCCCGGGAGAGAAACACGACACGATGGGAAGATAAAGGTGGGCAGGTTAAAGTCACACTTCTTCCAAAAAAAAAAAAAAAAAAAAAAGGCTAAACTCTAGATTGCTGTATTTGCTCTCTGTGGAGATTAACAAAGTGCTCGGTTTGCAGATTTGCTGGTATGGTGGCCTCGATGACATGACAAAGGGGCGGGTGGGGAGGGAAACGGGCGGGGCCCCCGGCCGGCCCGCCAGGTGGGCTCCCCTCGGTCGTCCTGCCGTCTGGCCACGGCGCACCACGCCGTCCACGGCGTGCGGAGCCTGTGGCCCGCGGAGTCCAGCACTAGCTTCGCCCTTTCTGAAAGGGCTCTCCGCCGGGGCAGGGGCCGCGGGGCAGTCCTCCGGTCCCACGGCTTAGGAGCACAGCACTGGCGGCTGCAGTGGCTCGAAAGGCTGAAACTACAAAGTACGGCCCGTGGGTGACTCAGTCACAGAACCGGACGCGTGCGGCGCCCGGCCCCGGGGGAGCGGATGGTGTCACCACAACACGGAAGCGACAAGAGCACAGCTGAGAGTCATGTGATGCCCTGGCAGCTAACTGGACCATGAGAAGGCAGCGGGGGCTTCGCTGGCGAGGGCCGGCACTCGTCGGCCGGGAGGTGGGGGTCGGAGGGGCCACGGTGAGGACACAGGGGTTGTGCTAGCACATGGCCACATGGAATCACGATGATCGCGGCTACCGCTCAGAAAACAAAATGGGAAACACACACACCGCCCTGGGTTGCTACATGCTAGAATCAGACTTCGGATTTGGAGCGGTTCCCGGCGGAAACTCGCTGGGGTGGGGTGGGGGGGGGGTGGGGGCGGGGGTGGGGGTGGGGGTGGTGCCTGTGGCAGTTGGAGACAGGATGAGTTAGTTATGGTGTTGGGGAGGCGAGTATGGGAGCTGGCCGCCCTCATGTTGGAGATGAACACTTCTGCCGTGGATGGGTGCCCCCCTGAGAGGACTCTGAATGAGTGTGCATTAAATCATATGCATATAAAAGAAATATGGATCATGGAAATTCACAGTTATCGCAGCCATTAAAGTGTCTAAGAATCTGTGGAACCAATATCCTCAGACAACCAGCTCCTAACCAGTTGTCCTGAGTTGCTACTGTAGAGTTTCCTGCATTTGTATCTATTTGCTTACCTGAAATAACAGAGCAGTTTATAATACTGATTACTTATGATAGTTTTCTGTTAATAAAATAAGGATTTATACAAAGCAATATTGGACTTTTTAAACAGTTAGATGCTATGTTACTTGGCACAGTTAGTAATGATTGCGTCAAGATTTTAGCCAGTCCCTGGAGGGACTTCTCCTCTTTTTTTATGAAAATATGGAAGTATCTGAATTTGTTCCTAGCGTTTACGTTTTTGGTTTACTCTCTCACATTCATGTAAGATACTGTCTTCCTAGCGGGTAAGTGGAGCTCCTTGGAAAGTCTATATTGCTAATTTTGTGGACTGAGACATTTCCTTTCACACACAAATACTACCTATACAGTATATATATATATATATTTATATATTTATATATTTATATTATATAAAGTTTACTTACGTATTTTCATCAACCATATCAGGTCTACTTAATTTTTTGCCCATTGTCAATAAAAGAGCAATAAATGCAGCAAGTTCGGTTTGTTTTTGTTTTTGTTTTGTTTTGTTCTGTCTCTGGTTTTTGTGTCTCGTTTCTTCTTTTCCTAGGCTGGGTTTTCATATGCGTGTACAGTTGGGGAGCAGAGCTGAGGGCTGCTTTGGGGTGGGGGACAGCTCAACATCTACGTGGCCGGTGGCGCCGTTTTCAAGGCTGATGGTGGCCGAGGCCCACCCCTTGGGTCCAAGTGGATGGAACCCAGGACACCAACGCTAAGTGAGATCGTGAACTTTGTTCCCTGCAACACAAGCCCCGTGGGCTCAGAGGGCTCCATCCAGGCCGCGGGGAGCAGAGGGGAGAGGTGGAAACAGAGGTGCCCTGGGTCTGGTCTGAGGCCGGCCGCCCCCGGGCATGGCTCTGTGTGGTGTGCAGGTGTTCCGGGGCAGTCTGGGACCCCGCCCAGGCTGTCTACACAATTGTGCTGATGCCGCTGGGTTTGGCCTTGCTGCTGGTGGGGGGCGGCGGGGCGGGGGGCTGCCCGTGGTGGTGCGCTGCGTGGCCGTGGCCCGTGTGGCCCGGGTGGCCGGCGTGGGCCGAGGGCAGTGGTGGGTGGCTGTGCACGTGGGCCCCATAGGGTGGGTGCCCCCCGTGGGGGCCGTGGTGGTACTGGTGTGCGTGCTGGATGTGCTGGGGGGGGGTGGTAGTGGTGGTGGTGGTGGTAGGGGGGTGGGTTCTGCTGCACGTGGCAGTACTGGGCGTGGTGCCCGTGCACCTGGGTCTGCGGCGGGCCCTCAGCAGGCCCCTGGTGGTGGCTGGCCCCAGAGTGCTGCGCGTGGGGCAGGCCCGGTGGGTGGGGGGGTGGCTGGGGAGGGGCTGAGGGCGGGTGGGCCTGGGGAGGGGGCTTCCCTCTCTTACTCCCAAATAAGGAGCCCAGGAGGGAGGATGAGTTAGGCATAGTCTGGTGTGGGCGAGATGGACACTCTCGTGTTGATGTAGCTCTCCGGCGCATGTGAGGACTGCTAATGATGGACCCCTAAAAAGGAAATTCATAGAAATCAAAATTAAAAGACCTTACAGCACTTATGTCAGAATGATTTTTTTTTTTTTTTTTTTTGATGTAAAAAGTTCACCCACTGACTGCTAAGCCTTAGTTAACTCTCTGGCTGCAGAGGGCGGGGCTGGGTGAGGCTGGATCAGTGCCACCTCCCCTCATGCGACTGGGGGCCACAGGGACCCAGGGTGGCCTTCCACTGAGAGGCGTGGGGATGGGGTAGGGGATGAGGGACGCTCCTGTCTGGTCAAAGCAGCAGCAGCAGCAGCACAAGTGTGACTTCTGCTCTCGTCCTGATACGGAAGGCGGCCTGAGCTTTCGGATCAGAACGACCGGCCCGGGGGTGCCTGTGAGCGCCATGTGCTGGGTGGAGTAGGCTGGGCTGATGTGCATGAAGAAGAACCCCGTTCCTGCTGAAACTGCGCCATCTGCTCTGCCTGTGTGGGCCCCGAGCTTTCTGGGAAGCTGGTGGTAGGGACCGGGGCGGGGGGCTCGGGGAACCTTGTCCTTGTTGGAGGGGCGGGGGGGCTGCCTAGGCATTTCACTGCAGCTACCTACTGCAAACCAAACAAGGAAAAAGAAGGAAACAAAAAGGTCTGCAAGCTGAGGTTACGATGTGAACAGTAATATAGAAATGGTTGGCAGATGAATGAAATCTCATGAAATCCACACGGAATTTTTTCTTCCTCTCATGGCTTTCCTCCCCCCGAGCTAGCTAAGCAATTCCATGATGTCCTGACTGCAGACACACAGCAATCGGAACTCCAGGAAGGAAGCGATGGGGATGGCGGAGCATGGAAGTCAAGAGATGGGCAAAACCCACCCTCCCGCCCCCGACAGTGCGGGTGGAGGGTGCACAGATGCCTGGCGGGCGGTGCTTCCCGCCCAGGAGCAGTGTCGGCAGGCGGGGGCCCCGGGGTGGGGGTGGGGGAGTGCCAGGAAGCCGGGATGTTAACCATGCTTGGGGGGGCCACAGGGGGCGGGGTTAAGCGGGAACTAAAACACGGAATCCAGAACCACCCCCACCTCCCATGGGTCCAGCCCAAACAAGCGGTGAGAGGCACGGGCGATTCTAGGAGGGGGGAAGCTGGCATGCACTGGGGCTGAGGCAGGCATGGGGGACGGGGCGTGTCTGCGCCTCTGTGCAGTAGGGGGAAGGAAGAGCAAAACGGAAAAAAAAAAAAAAAAAACGAAAAAAAAAGACAACAGATATAAACCAAGGATCGGGGAGGCAACACACGACAGCCAGCTGGACGTAGGCGCTTCCTACTTACTTCCACATTGCTCTCTAGCGATCCCGCACTGCTGCGACGCCCTCGCTTCCCTGCCCAGAACATGCAATACCAGAGGTTAGACATGGACACGAGGCCGGGCCGCCGCCTGCCTGGCCCTGGGTCACCACTGCTGCAGGCCGGGGGGAGGGTCGGAGGACTGGCTCCGTAGGGAAGCCCGTGGGAGGGCAGTAATGAGTTTCAAAAGAAAAAAAAAGAAAAAAGAAAAAAAAAGGAGGGGGAGTTCAAAGAAAAAAACTTGTTTTCAACCAGCCCCAACTTGATACCCCTTCTCCTGGACTGGCAGTCTGTTGTCGGGGGGTGGGGGGTGGGGGGTGGGGTGGGGGGATGCCTCCAGGTGGGCTGGGGAGCGTGCACAGCGGGGGCCAGATGCCCTGTGCTTCAGCCACCTGCCAACAGGGGATGGGACAGGGGCAGCTTCTCCAATGGCTCAAAACAAACAAGATGTGGTCCTGTGCGGCCCTGACTGCGTGGATTTCATATACATATGTATATGCATATTCACACATACATATACACCTCCCCCCTTGCAGGCAGGGTGGGGTTGATGGTTAGGAGGAAACTAAACTTGGCGTCCTGTCTTTTCCTTCTGGGGAGCTCAAATGTGCTGGTGCCTCTGGAGCCAACTGTTTGGTTTGTGCAGTGCCCTGGCCAGGGGCAGGAGGCAGGGTCAGGGTCTGCTGGGAGAGCCCAGAGTCCTGCTTCCCTTCTGCGGGTACCGCCCTTCCGGATGCCACAAGTGCTCCCTCAGCTGTGAGCGCTGCCTGCCGATGGCTTTCTACTACCCCCCGGCACATGGCATATAGTAGGCACTCAATATATGTTGGCTGTGTTACAGGAAGGCTGTGTCTTCTTGGTTCTGGAGGCCTAAGGCTCAGCCTGGCCTCCATGGTCCTTTTGGAGGCCCTCTCCATGGATTCCTGCAGGACACTGAGGCTGGCAAGAATGGTGGGTGCCCAAGCTTCGGGGTCCGGTCTCTGTCCAGCCCTCAGGAAAGCAGATAGGAAGAGGGGACAGAGAAGGGGCCGCCCACTTGATGTTCTGGAGGCTTCCACCTGTGCAGCCCTGGCCACGAGCCGAACACATTTGTTCTTGGTCAAGCCCCGCAGCAATGCAGTACAGGTGTCCCTTTGTGCCAAGGAGGAGGAGGAGGTGGAGGCCGAGGCTCATGGACCGACTGTCCAATTCCACAGTGAGCGAGCGGGACTCACACCCAGGTCTGCCTGTCCATCTCTGGGGCTGGGAAGCTTGGCCATGCTGTCTTCTGAGCGGAATGCAGGCTGAGTGAGCCCAGGAGCCTGAAAGATGGAAAGGCTGCTACGCGCCTCTCTGTGGCCAAGAAGCTGGCCCTGTGCGGGGTAGAGGGTGGGCCTGTGGGTCCTTCAGGCCTCACCGTGGCGTCTGAGTGTACTGGGACGGAGCCTTGATCTTGGGCATACAACAGTGGACTCGGGGGACATTCGGTCCCTTTGCTTGGCCTGCCAACCCCCAAACCCGAGTCCCAGCTGGGAACTTTGCTGGACTCTGGCATGTGTGAGAGGGCTTCAGAGCTCGCTCAGGACGGGGCCACACAGAAGATTAGGGCAAGAGTGTTTTCCACCAGTTGCTGAGGACCAGGGAGAACCACGTAGGACCTGGCCCTTATTCCCAGCTGGAACAAAGATGAGGGTCGTCACATATCCTCATCTTTCAGCTCGTATGAGGAGAGAGGCTGGCCATCTTCCCTCCTGCTTTTTGTCCCAACACAGTGGTCCAGGGACATAGAGCAGAATGAGGCTCTTTGGCTGAAGAGGTAACCCCACCTGGCACTCCGTTGATTCTTTAGCACAGTTTCTGCGTCTGTGAAATGGGTACGTGCCTTCCTCTGAGTAGGGTAGATGTGAGCATCAGATACTCGGGATCTTGTGGCACCATGCAGAAATGCTGAAGTCAGATCTCTGCTGTCTCTGCGGTTTTAAAATCAGCTCTCTGGCCCCTCGAAGCCTAGAGGGCTCCCCTAACTGAAAACCAGGGACACAGTAAGGCCAGCCCGCCCCACCAGTGCCCAGCAATGTCTTCCGACTGATGTGCTTCTCTCAAGGGGACTTAGGCCAGGCCTGGAGCTAGGTTTGGGGGCTCTGTGTGGTATCTGACCTGAAGTATAACAAAACCCTCCTCTTCCTGCCCCCAAGTGGGCCAAGACTTAGGACAGTTTTAACTTGGATGTCTTTGAGTAATGCTAAGTTTCTCAGAATCCATCTTTTCAATTTCCCAAATAAGCATGAGATGTGAGGTATCCCTACCTCACTGCTGTCTGCAGTCCAGTCCCAGAGCCCCTAGTCAGGGGCACACCCCACAGACACCTGCTCGCTATAGACCTGTGTCTGGGTGTGTGCACACAGGTGCACATCATGTGCTAATGGAGGTGAAGCATGCTGGGAAAGTGGCTCTCGCCCATGCACCCACACTATCCCTCACCTGCACTCTATCTCCTGCTACGCTCCCTCTGTCTTGGCGGGGGTGCGGGTGGGGGGGTGGTCCTGCACCAGCCACAGAGGAGCCCTGCCCCGCCCAGTGCCTCTCCCAGAACCTGATCAGGCCCTGCCAGGCCAACTGTGGTCAGGATCAGTAACCACGTCTGGAAGGAGTTCCCAGCATGGCTCTTCACAGCCTTTTCCTGCTTCTTGGTATCGGCACAGAATGCAGCAAGGGCTCTCAACCCAGGGTCCCACCCTGTGGTCCTTAATAATGCTGGAGGCTGAGAAGGTGCTGCTTTGGACACTGGCCACCAGAAGCCACCAAATCTCCCCTGAGAGGGCTTCCCGGGTTCCCTGGGGCAGAACATGGCAGGTCTCTGGCTAGGCCCCAGAGCAATGACAGGTGCAGGCAGGTCCCATGGCCTCTGGGAGACATCCTCTCTCTGGAGACTGATGTTGGGCAGCTTGGCTGGGAGGGGCAGGAGGACCTTGGGGGCTTGGGGATAGCGTCCATCATGACTTGACTGATCTGGGCCAGGGGTTAGGGCCCCAGTCACACCTGTGTCCCCGGTCCACGCAGGCCCTTGATCGCAGGCCGATAGGGCTCTGGTGCCACTGAAATGAGCATGGATCCCGGACGAAGGAAGACCGTGTGGAGAGAATTGGTGGTGGGGGGTGGGGAGATCCACGTCTGAGGTGTGTCGTCACCCGGAATGATGTGTGATTGCAGGTCCAGGGCAGACGCCCCCAGAGCAGTGACGTGCCAACAACTGAGCGCTAGCTTTCCCGAAGGGAGAGGGTATTCCCGAGGCCTTGCCTCTTCTCCAGCAGCCCTCTTAGTAAGGGCCACGGTGGGGAGAGTGACGATGCCTCCGGAGAGCTTCACTCCGACCCAGTCCGGGGTACGTCTTCGGGTGCTGAGCCCAGCATCTTCCTGGATGGCTGCCGACATTGGCCGGTCTCCCTCTGGAGACTGCACGTGGAGGGCTCCCAGTCTGGGGCCTTGGCAGCTGCCAGGACTCAAACGCACCCTCCGGGCTTCCTGGGGACAGGGGGCTGCCTTCCTGGGGGATTCTTCACATGGTCTCTTGGGAAGACTCGATCCCTAGAGTTTTTCTTAGTTCAGAATGTCCAAACAACAACAGCAACAGCGACGATAGAAGGAAAGCAGCTGAACCTCAGCGCTCTGTCCCTCACACAGGCCTGGGGTTGCAGCTCTATCTGACCCCCAGGAGCTGGAGTCCTAGGTGTGGCTGGCCACGCTGGGAGCCTCGGTTTCAACAGAGCCACTGTTACCTGAGGGACTGGATGGGACCCATCCGCCCTCCAGGTGCTGCATCAGGGAACAGAGAGGCCAGGCCTAGCGCCACTGCACAAACCCAAACAGAGGTCCCGGCTACCAGCCTACAGAGGCCCAGAGCTGTCCAATTACGTTTAGCTGGGTTTAACAAGCCATAGGGAAAACCAGTGGTTCTCAACCCGTGGCACTTTGCCAACTAGGGGTGATTTTTGCCCCCCAGAGGACCCCTGGAAATTTCTGGAGACATTATTGTCTGTTATGACACGGGCGGGGGGGGGGGGGAAGATACTCTTGGCATCTCATAAGTAGAGGCCTGGGATGCTGGTAAACATCCTGCAGTGCACAGGACAGCACCCTCCAACAGCACGGAATTATCTGGCACAAAACATCAATGGTGCTGGGGTTGAGAAACCCTGGGTGAACCTCATGCTGGCAATGGATTTCTGATTTTTACTATGAAAAAAAAAATGACAGGACAAAATAAGGACAAAAAAATTCCAACTCAAAAAAAGAAAAAAAAGAAAAAAAAGAAAAAAAATTTCTGGGAAATGAGTAAGCTGGAGGGAGGCAGTGCGGCCGGTGGGGCAGGTGTGGGATGGAGTCATGAGCGGGCTCTTTTAGTAGCGGGGCCCAGGGCTGGCCACGAGGTAATGTCCGAGGCAGGGTGGGGCGGGTGACGCCCCGAGAAGGGGAGGGGGCTGCCGGGCCCCTGGAGAGGAGGCGGCTGATCTTGGCCCGAGAGGGTCTTTTCCGACAACCCAGGGCCTGCAATCAGGCTCCTAGAGCCGGGACACCCGGAGCCGCGTGCCCTCTGTGGGACAACGTCCTGTAACCTCTGCTCCATTGTAGCTGGAGCCTCCTCCCAGGAGAAGCTGCCTGCTGAGACGTGACTGGGGGGCTTCAGGGGCTGTCCCTCCACAGCTTCTCTGACAGCACTGTAGGCAAAGCAGGCTAAACAACACTCACGGGCGGCTGGCCCAGGGGACCCGGCCGGGCGAGCTGCCCCCAAAAGCTCTCTGACACTCTAGACACACCTCCTCCCCTGGGCAATCTGGGAGGCTTGAGGGGTGCTGCTTGCTTAGGGGTTAAGAGGCTGGCAGCAAATAAACACACACAGAAACAAAGAAACAGTAACAAAAACCACGGTTGTGCCAGGGCTCCCCCCCTCCCCCCACTGCCCCGACATCCAGGGGGCAGCTGCGGCCACTGCCTCTGGGCCAGATGGGGGCCCGGGTTTCCCAGGAAGGGAGACCTCCGTGAGGGAAATGAGACCAGGGACAGTGGGAGAGGGGGGTCTCCAAACACAGTTTCGAGGGCTTCACTCCATTTCATTCATCAGCATAAAACACAGGGACGCGGCAGCACAGAGGACAAGGGACACATCCATCAGTGGGGCCTGGCTCGCTCTGTGTGAGAGCAGTTTCCGGAAAATAAATAAAAGAATAAATAAAACCCCTAGAAGAAGAAAGGGAGAATAGGGGTAACCTCCTGGCTGTTCTGCCTTGACAACCGGATCCTGTTTCCTCTGGCCTTTTTGGGACGCCCTCTCTGTGTGGTCAGATGCTACTACGGTCTGGGGACAGTCACGGGAAACCCAACGGCACTCCGTCCGAGCCCTGCCGCCACCTGCCGCCACCAGCCGCCACTGCGGTCCTTTCCCGGCACGCAACGCGTGCCCCAGCTGCCCGGTCTGAGTCCTGCGTGTGCTGGGCTAGGAAGGGGGTCCTGGCCCACTCTTACCCGCTTCGGAGAGGTCCCGCAAGGAGCTGCTGAGGGCGCTGCGCTTGAGGCCCTCACCGCTGGCGTAGCTGTCATCCAGGCAGGCTCGGCTCAGCGTCCCGTTGCCGGACTCCTTTTTGAGGCTGGAGCACTGGGACATGCTGGGCCGCACGACGCCTTTCTGCTTCTCGAGCTCCGCTGAAACAGAGAGAGAAACACAGCCTTGAGGGTGAGGCCCTGGGCCCTCTGTGCAGGCTTGGCATCGCACCCAGCTGCCATCTGTTTGGCCTGAGGAAAAGTCAGGGCCCACGGCTGTCTTGGGAAAGAAAGAGAAGGTGTGAATGCTGCCTTTGACAAAAGGGAGCCAGGAGGAAACTCTGAAAGGGAGGCTGGAGAGGCGCGGGCCTTGGGGTCTGCAGGAAAGACCGTCACTTTGCAGGCTTGAGGGCTGGCAAGGAGACTGGCTGGCCTGGGTCTGCGGACGAGCAAGGGGTAACCCGACCTTGCCCACCCTTTGTGTGGGGCCCAAAGGTGGGGGTAGTTGTGTGTCTCCAGGGAGTGAGGCTGGGAGCCAGGAGAGAAAAGATGGTAATCAAGTCCAGTGCAACCCACAGGATGGGCTTGGTGGTGACTTCCCCGACATGGAAGACGAAAGAAGAATAAGCAACGAGATCAGCTCCGGATCTCCGGGAAATCTCGTCTCGTGGGGCGACGGGGGAACCAGGCTCTCTCAGGGCATGCCATGTGGTCCCACAGGCAGGATGGGCCTGGGCCGTGGAAGCCCTCACTCTCATGTGGAGGCCTCTGCTGCCCTCCCCACGCCACCTCCTCTGGCCCAGGTATGGGGGCTGTCCTGTCACAGGGCTGTGGGAAGGCCAGGTGAGACCAGGGCACCTCACTTTTGTGGGCCCCCAGAGTCCCTGGCACCAGATGGGAGCCAACGGCCGTGTCCATCAAGTCCCAGAAGATGCTGGGGCTGCTGGCTCTTCCTCTCCAGGGGGCCTGGGACTTACACTCTATCCTGTGCTTCTCCATCTCCTGCACTTCCGCGATGGACTCCCGCAGGTCGTCGGTGAACTTCTTTCGGTCTTGAGGATTGGGAGCGTTAAAGTTTATTAACACTTTGATGTCTGCTCCGGGGACAGCAGATGTGAGCCGGATGCCATTGGGGTAGTCTACAAAGGAGAAGGGGAGGAGAAGAACCCATGGATCCCTGGGTGCTCTCTGCACTCTCTCTGCCGGTCAAGAAAATGCTAAGTCTAAGGGTCCAGGCTCTCAGCAGACACGTCTAACCAGGGAGGAAAGGCATCCACAGGGCAGACCAGAGAGGCTGCCAGGAAATCCCCATCTCCTGACTTGGGTCTGTGTTGTTCTATGCAGAAGTCTGGGGCAGATTTGGCCAATCTGAACAGAGGTCAGGGCCCCCATCCTTCCTCAACCTGAAGGTCATGGAGCCTAGACCCTTCAAGTCAAGGTCCTTGGTCATTGCCTGAAGCTCGAGAATGGCCAGGGGTGGAGTCCGGGCGTCAGAGTCAGTGTCCTGTGCTGGGGGGGAGTCTTATCTGGTCTCCCTGGGCAATTCTGAGTGCACACTGAGCTCTGTTCTCTCACAAGTGGCCTCCAGACCCTCAGTTCCCTTGGGTGCTTCATGGGCACCCCATACCCAATGCACTCTATGCTGAGTGCTCTGTCTTTCTGGCCTATGACCTGCCTGGTGCCACCTCCGAGCTCACAGAGTCTCTGTGGCTTTGGTCCCCTGGTAGCGCCTCTCTCCTCAGCGGGAATCAAGCATCAGCTACTGGGTGTTTGGAGGTTCTTGGTCCACACACCAATACCACTTTTGCTCAGACCTAAGTCAAGGCTGGGAACTCAAATGCCTAGTGTGTTCCCATAAATGTAGGAAGTAAACCACATGAGACTGAGCAACAGAGTGAGTGGGGGTGGGGTGGGGGGGAGGAGCGTGCAGCCCATGACAGCCACATGACGTGGGAATGTGGGCCTAGCAAAAACCTTCTCGGTTTTCAAGAAAACTCAAAAATATCTAAAATTTTAGTTATTTTATTTTTTAATTAAAAATTTTTTAATGTTTATTTATTTTTGAGAGAGAGAGAGAGAGAGAGAGAGAGAGGCAGAGTGTGAGGGGGCAGGGGGCAAAGAGAGAGAGAGGGAGACAGAATCTAAAGCAGGCTCCAGGCTCTGAGCCATCACCACAGAGCCTGATGCAGGGCTCAAACTCATGAACTGTGAGATTATGACCTGAGATGAAGTTGGATGCTTAATGGACTGAGCCACCCAGGTGCCTCCAATTTTAGTAATTTTAGATATTAAGTATCAGCTCAACAAATTTTTTAAAATGTGTAAACCAAACACATAACTGGGCTGCGACTGACCCACGGCTACCACTTTGAGATCCCTGCTACGAAGGCATGTCCCATAGAAATGTCAGTGTCGACTCTTGGGCTTATGCCAGGACCTTGGGTTCGGGGCTGAGGGCTGAGCCCTGGGAATGTAAAAACGAGGAGGGCACAGCCTCTGCCTGTGGATTCAGTCTGGTCGGACCCACTGCTGGGAGCATCACAACCACCGCCACCCCTTCGGAGAGAGAGCCTGCCGGTCAGGACGATGTGGGGTGGTACCATGCTCCCTGAGGCCACCTTCCACCCTGGTAGAAACCAAGGGAAGGCAGGGATGGCCCAGGCACAGGTCCCTGGTTCTTTTTCAACCTGCAGATTGAAAGCGGATCAGACGGTAGCTTGGCAACCTGTCCGAGAGGATGAGGGCTTCCCTGCTGCTGGAGATATCATGATGCTCGACTGGAACGGTCCTCCCCTGGGGCCAGTGCAGAATGGGCATGGCAACAGGACCTCCCCCTCACCCCCCACCTCAGGAGGCCTGGTTCAGCCTACAGCTCAGGGACCTTCAACAGGGACGGGACAAAGAGGGAGAGAGGTAAAGGGAAGGGCTTGGGTATCAGAGAAGGACCAGGTCAACAGAAAAAAGTCAGTGGGGGTGTCAGCTCCTCCCCCAAGTCCTCAGGCCCCATGGCCCACTCATACCCAGAGAAGACTCCAATAACACCTAAGAATAAATCCTGCTCTAAGCACTTCATGTATGGACTCACCTAAGTCCCCGAGGTAGGTGCTATCACCCCACTTTACAGACAAAGGGAATGCGGCCCGGGGACTGCTAGGTCTTGACGCATTTGCACCCGGGCTCTCCGCTCAGGACCGGGCTCCTGTCCTACAGCCCCCCAGGCCTTGCCTGCACCTGTTTGTTTGCCTGTGTTTGCACATCACCTGTGCCATTTACTTGGTGTCTTCCGGGCAACAATTTATTGGCATAAATCCACCCCGCCCTGAATTAAAAAAATCTTAACCACACGGTAAGAAGACGTAGGAGCAAAAGCAAAGGCGATCACCACCATGTACAATGTTATCAAATTCTCCCCAGGTACTGTTGCTCGTCAGACCCCTGGCCTGCAACCTTCTCTCTGCTGGCGAAGCAGGAATACGGAACACACATGGGAGAGCTGGGAGAGATCCCCAGGGGGAGATCCTTGGGGAGCACAGCACTTCATGACTACAAGGTGGGAGTTGTGACACCGTTTCTGCCACGTGGCACACGGCCATGTGTGGACGAATGCTCCAGCATGCACACTCGCGGCCGGGCCGCGGCAGGCCCCCAGCACGGACTTACATTGGTTCTCGAAGAGCAGAACCTGCATGCCGTACAGGGAGAAGGACTGTCGGAAGCTGTACGTCACCGAGTTCTTCTTTTTCTGGAAGATCTTGGTCACCTGGGGGCAGCCAGAGACAGAGGCTGAGTCGTATCGCCTGCACCGCTCAGGGGCAACTCTGGGCGCTCGGGATTCTGGATTCTGACCGAGACTAACGTCAAAACCCTCTCGGCAGTGCAGAGGTCGGGAGGCCTCTGGGGCAGGGCAGGCCTGTGTGTCCAGGCACATCCTGACATGGATGCTGGCTTCCGCTCCCGTGAATCCCAGCTGTCGTCCTGGCTGGCGATGAAGCCCCTCAGCAGAGAGGTGGCAGGCGCCACGCTGCACACGACCCCGAAGGCGCCAGGCCGGGCTCTGACACCCAGGACCCCACCTGAGCTCTGTGACTGCCTGAGAGATTTTGGAGGAGGAAACGGAGGCTCAGGAATTTGAAGTCACTTGCTTGAGGTCAGGGACTCTTGACAAAGACTTGAAACCCACAGGTCCAGATTCCAACCTCAGCAGTCAGAGAGAAGTGGCTGGTCCTCAGGCAGGTAGGGGTCAGGGACAAGGGCCTCTAGCAAGAAAGCCCAGGGCATGCAGGAGAGACAAAGACCCAAGGGACAGTTTCCCCCCGTTGTCTCCAGGGGCATCTTTATCCCCGGTGGCCACCATCCATGCCACCTTTTTCTGGGCAAGAGCTCCGCAGTTTCCCTTTGGGGAACCCCCTCTCTGCCACCCGGCACTCCTGGGGGTGAGCAGTGACCCAGGTTTAGCCAATGAGACAACACTGCACCTGCCTGGCCCCTGTGAGCGGCTCAGGCATGGGCACGGGAACCAGTGAGACCTCTGCCCGGACTCTTCCCAAGAAAATCCCCCTGGTGGCCGGGGATGCAGGGAGGGGGCAGGATTAAGCCTGTAACTGCCGAGACTGACTTTCTCTTTGTGGACAGAGCTCCTGAGAAGGGAGCCCACGCAGCTGAGAGACAGAGAGCCTAATAAAGGAGTCCCGCTGACGCTGTGTAAGCTTCTAGAAATAGTTGGGGCTGAAGCCCCACACCCCCCTCCGGGCTTTTACATAAGCTGACGAAGCCCCATTTTCGTTGGCCATGCTGTGAGTTAGATTCTGCCTCTTGTAACCCAAGACCGTGGGGCTGACTCCATCCCCTTCACCTCCACCCTACGCACGTGGGTGCCTTTCCCCAAGCGCAGGCGCACAAGGCCAGATGGGAGACCGGAGCTGCAGTTCAAGGCCGCCCCGTGCCACGGGTCCCAGCCACGACACGCTCTGGGGAACCACATACCACCAGGAGGTCGTTAAACAGGAAGATTTCTCGCTGGTGCAGCCCGAGCTTCTGGGGCTTGTTTGGGTCTGGAACCTCGAAGAGCCGGCAGTAGCAGACCAGCCGCCGGTGGGGCAGAGAGAGCACCTGTATGGGGAGGAAGCGCTGCGTCAGCCCCCAGCCCCTCCACTGCAGCCCCTGTGCGCTGGGAACCCAGCGTGTGGGCCTGGCCTTCGAAAACGCCTTCTCCCACCAACTGCACTCAGCAGATGTTCCTTGCAACTTTCCCTGCTCTTCCTCAGGAGCTCTCCTGAAGGGCCATGGAAAGCGTCCCTGCCTCTCACGACACCTCCTTTCCTTTCCTTCAGGCAGGTCCCAGACATCTTAGAGCATCACGTGCACACGGGAGCCCCCACAGTGAGGAATTCGTGATTTCTCAGTCCCCACAAAGTGCCCATCACACACATAAGCCTGTTAGTCCCGGCAAAGATTTCTCCAGAGTGTCTACTTGAGATGAGGACACTGAGGGGCGCCTGGGTGGCGCAGTCGGTTAGGCGTCCGACTTCGGCCAGGTCACGATCTCGCGGTCCGTGAGTTCGAGCCCCGCGTCAGGCTCTGGGCTGATGGCTCAGAGCCTGGAGCCTGCTTCCCATTCTGTGTCTCCCTCTCTCTCTCTGCCCCTCCCCCGTTCATGCTCTGTCTCTCTCTGTCCCAAAAATAAATAAAAAACGTTGAAAAAAAAAATTAAAAAAAAAAAAAAAAAAAAAGAGATGAGGACACTGAGGCACAGAGAAGTTGAGCAACTTGCCTCAGCCACACGACTGGGAAGGTGCAGAGCCGAGAGAGGATTCCAGGCCCCTCCTAAAGAATCCCGACGCTTTTGATGGGTCCCTGCCCCAACTCCTGGGCCGGCAGCCACACCACCCCGTGGGGCCTGGCCTGGGCCTCCACGCGGAGCACGCCTGCCATGGGTTCACGTGAGCCCCCACTCTGCCGAAGCCCGAGCCACTCACAAGGCCAGGTACAACCTGTATGGTGTCTAAGGGCTGCGGTGACAAGTCACTGGGGAGGCCCAGTGGCGGCTCTGAGAGCACCCAGGCTCACGAAGGAGACAGCAGGTTAGTAAAGGGATGTGCTGGCAGGGAAGGTTCACTCTGCAACGGGTGCCCTGGTGGTGGGAGGCCCGAGCTCAGCGCATCAGGAAGATGGGAGGAAGGGCTTGGCCCAGGCTGGCGTGCTCAGGGAGGGGCATCGTTTGGGATAAAAGCGTGAAGGGGAGAGGGTGGCGGGAGGCGGGGCCGGAGAGGTGGGTGAGTGCTGGCCACGGCAGCGTCTAGTGGTTTGTCTCTAGGGCAAGGTGGGAAGAGGGGGGAGCAGACAGGTTTGTGACGCTGACTCTTGCAGTGCAGGCTGTCCGGTGAAGGGTAAAGACGGACACATAAGGAAAGTGCCATGTGACTGCAAGGCTAGCCTTGCTGCTCCTGGGGTGAGCAGGCAGGCAGACCTGCTCAAAGTGGTGACAGTGGAGTGTGGGCGGCAGAGGGCGGGTTGGGTGGGCAGGCCTGCAATGGCCCATCAGCCTCATCTGTTTTGGGCACAGTGCCTCGGGTCAGAGGCAAGCCTTGGCCTCTGCACTCAACCGGGCCGGGTGAGAGGGAGGGACACCATCTGCCCTGGCCTGACGGTACACAACTCTCCCCAGGTGGCTGCAGTCTGGGCCTGCAGAAGTTCGAGGCTGGGAGAACTATGAAAATCAAATTTCTTATCACTCCGGAAAGGAACTCAAGCAGCCAGAATTGTGGATCTGGGAACCAGGGGATGCAGGGAGGTGAACACACAACATGGTGGACCTCCCCGCCCCCACCCCAACCCCAACCCCAACCCGGGGCAGGATGTCAGCCAGGATGTAAAAGCAGAGGGATACTCACACAGCCAAGCCCGTGATGCAGGGATCCAATCTATGTGGGAAACATTAAACAAACAAGAAAAGATATTAATGATCCAAAGCATGCACCCGGGACCTGAGGGAGCTAATGGGATGACATCCGAGTAGGTAAGCACCCCTCCAGAGGCACGTTCCCATAGCCTTTGTCCAGACATCCACACACAGCTCAGGAGACCTCCTTGCTGCCAGAACTTAGGAAGGCCGATAAGGGCATTCCCAGGCCACCAAGGGACCACTGCGCAACTTGGGCTGGTTTCTTAAGAGCCTCAGGCTCTCTTTAAATATAACCCAGGGCCAATGGTTATTATTCCCCAATATCAGGTAGGAGCCACCCTAAACCTAAAGGAACCGCCCCCCCCCCCCAACTATGCCCCGAAGAAGCCAGGTTCCAAATGGCATCAGGGCCCCTGTCCAAAGCTAATGCCAGTGGGGCAGGCCTGGGGTCGCATGGAGTGGGGGTGGGTGGGAGTGAGGGAGCCAGGGATGCAGGGCCACCACATACCGGCTTTTTCCCCACGATGAGCTTTTCCACCTTCTGCACCTGGGACACGTGGTCCTCGTTGGTTTTCAGTTCCCGCTTGCGAATGCGCTCGTAGATCCCAATTAGCATCTCCCGGGGAATGTCCTCACCATCGTCCACACCTGAGCAGGAGACAGTAGCCAGGCATCAGGGCAGGCCAGGGTCTGGGTGGCTGTGGCACCGCTCAGCTTCGGGGCCCCAGGCTCACCCCTGATTTGCCAAGTTTCTAAACCCAATCAGAATATCAATCCCTTTCATCAATCCTCAGCAGAACCAAAGACCTTCCAGACCCACAGCCACTGAACGCCTTCAGTCAATTATGAAATGCCCTAGGATCCTTCCGCCAGGACAAGGCCAGCATAGCCACCCAGATCAGCACGCAGAGGGCTGTGCCAGCTTCCAGCCATGCTCCAAGGGCTTTATAAACATCAGCTTGCTAATCCTGACCACGGCCCTGCTGGGTGGGTGTGACCGTCTCCATTCCGCAGCTGGGAAAGCAAGGCTCGGGGAAGGGCCCAGGGTTGGGGGTGGCTGTGAAGCTGGTGTTTGTGGCTTCAGGCTCCCACAGGCGTGGGCCTAAGTTCTTGCCTTGCCCCTCACAAGCCGTGGGACCGAGTCTCTGCGCCGGGGGTCCTCTGTGAAGTGGGCCACCAAGAGCACAGGTGACTTCACGAAGGTCTCATGAGGAAGACAGAGCAGCGGCGGTGCGTTCCCAGAAAGTGAGAACTCCATGCACCTGAGCAGCGCCACCAGCTGTTGTCCCACGTCACGTGCGCAGAAGCTGGGGTCTGGCCTTGAAGCCGGGTTGTTCTGACGACAGGCATGCACCCTTTCCGCTATACCCTGAAAAACTGCTGTGAGGAAAACTCGGCCCCACTCAAGAGAGAAACGCAACCCCACGCCAGTCCTCAGACCACAGACTGGCAGAGGTCCAGAGGTTTGGTAACCTGCGCAGTTGGCAAGGCTGTGGGAAGGGGTCTCCCACCCACTGCTGGTGGGAGGGTCACAAATATACACTCAAAGCCCCTCTGGGCCACTGGTTGCGTCCTGGGCAAATTTATCCCACGGGCCATGATGCACAGACCAGGTAACTCATGGCAGCATGGTTTCCAAAGAGCGGAAGACTGGGATTCACCCATTTACCCATTAATAGGGGACGGGTTAAGCCATCCCTGCACGGGTGCAATGGAATACCACACAGCTGCCAGGAATATGAGGACGACCACAGGGAACTGACACGAAACTGTAAGAGGGAGGGTGTGGCCTTGGGCACACAAGTCGGGGTGGGAGGGGCTCTGCTACCCACCGTTCATACTTTTTTTTTTTTTTTTAATTTTACAGAGAGAGTGTGAGAGCGGGGGAGAGTGGCAGAGGGAAGCGGGGGGACAGAGAGAGAGGGAGAGAATCCTAAGCAGAGCCCAACACAGGGCTCAATCCCATGACCCCGGGATCATGACCTGATCTGATATCAAGAGTCGGACGCTCAACTGACTGAGCCACCCAGGCACCCCACACATTTTTTAAAACCAGACTATTTTTTAGAACTGTGTTTTAGAGCAATTAAGTTCACAGCAAAATTCAGGGGAAAGCCCAGGGATTTCCCCGTAACACCAGCCCCCACCCACTACCAACTTCCCACACCAGAGTCATATATTTATTAGAACCAGTGAACCCACACTGACACACTATTATCACCTGAAATCCATAATTTACATTGGGATTCACTCTTGGTGTTGTGCGTTCGACAATAAACGTTTACCGACACGTCTCCACCACCATGGAGTCAGGTGGAATAGTGTCACTGCCCGAAAACTCCCCCGTGCTCCACCTCCTCCGCCCCTCCTCCCTCCAACCCCTGGTGACCACTGATGTCTTATGTCTCCATAGTTTTGCCTTTTCCAGAAGGTCATATGGCTGGCCTCCCATGGTATGCAACCATTTAAGACTGGCTTCCTTCACTTGGTGGTATGCATTTTTAAGGTTCCTCCCTGTTTTCTCATGGCTTCTTTTCTTTTTAGTGCTGAATAATATTCCATTGTCTGCATGGACTACCGTCTATGTATCCGTTCCCCCACCGAACGACATCTCTCGACTGCTGCCAAGTTTTGGCAACTATGAATAAAACTGCTATAAACATCCTGTGCAGGATTTTGTGTGGATGTACGGGGTTTTCAATTCCTTTGGGTAAATACCAAAGAATGTGATTGCTAGCTTGTCTTACTCGGTGTTTTTTTTTTTTTTTTTAAACTATGTGAGGATAATAGCCATTAAAAAGAAATCAATCTAGAAAACTTAAAAACAAACATCAATAAAAGAAAATCATTACTCGTCTGGCTGCCATGCTGGTGAGCGATTCCTCCCCCGCTTACCCTCCAACCCCCCAAAGGCACTCCTGCTGAGGGTCTCCCCAGGGGAACCAGAGTGAGGAATTCCAGAGAAAATGCACCTAGTGTGTGCAGGGGGGGAAGGTCTCCTCTACAAACACCAAGCTGGACGTCTGCCTGGTACGGAGCACCAGCCAGGCTGTGGGAGACCAGAGTCCTGCCCCCGTGGACGTGACCTTGGGCAGATCCCTTCCCTCTGCCTTGGCTACCCTTCTGAACACAAGGAAGACTGAACAGAACACTCCTGAGTTCCGGGCTTGAAAAGATGGGATTTGGAGGGAACGGTCCAGGCTTGGGAGAGAGCCGACAGCTTGATCTCCTGAGAAGTGGGATGATAACTCCCCCAGACTGCTGGGATGGTCGGGTGCAAGGCCGGATACAAACGACAAAGCCACTGATGTGAGGGTGGCCAACTGGCAGAATCTGACTGAGCAACCCTTCCCTCCCCGAGCCTTCTCTCCTCTGGGCTAATCATTTCAGGCTCCTCCTGTTGTTCCCCATACAGGGGAGTCCCAATTATGTGGGTGAGGTCTAAAGGCAGAAAAAAAAAATCAGAGTCATATCGCAAAGACCTTTAAACTCCAGCACATGGGGTCACCAACAGCATGCAGTGCACAGCCTGCTCTCTGGGCAGTGAGGGAGCACAGGCCTACACGCTAAGGCCACGGGGGACCCTGTGAAGACCAGAATCAGGCTCAGCCCCGTGAGGAGAGACAGCCCCTGTCCCATCAAAGCATCCGCTGGTTGCTCTCTCACGCTCTGGTGCTGAATTGCCATTAAGAAAATTCCCAGACTCCTTAGCTTCCTGGGAACTGTAGCTAAGACCTGAATTCCTTGGGGTCCACAGCACCCCTGAGATCTAGCAGAGGGCCACACACCATGAGTGTTCTGGGCAGGGGATGAATGTCTGGTTGGTCTGAACCAAGCCCTGCCCCTTGGCTTCCCTGACTGATCAGGTCCTGGAGCCCAGCTGGGAAAAGCGGGCACCTTGGCACTCTTCTGGATAGGCACCCCATTAGCTGGCCTGTTGCAGGGTACCCACCACCAGGGGGCGCATCAGGACAGTTCAAACCCTGGGGCGAGGGGAGGGGAGGGCCTTCCTGCCCCAGGAAAGGGGACGACAGAGCTGTGGTTTTATAGGAAATTTAAATGGTGCAACAAAGATCAAAAACTTAAAGTTTTGTCATCAGTTCAGAAGACTTAAAGAACTGGATAGGAAAAAAAATAGCTCAACAAGCTGACAAAGTTGGACCTGATTCAGACCAACTTTTTTCCTTTTTTTAAAAAAATATGACACCCTAAGGGGATCTCAGCCTGCTGCAGCTTGGTGTTTCCCAAGGAAAAGGACATAGTCCCTCTTCCTCCTTGCAGGGACTCCAGGTAAACGAGGACATGCTGTCAGCTAACATGGTGCCACTTGGGAGACAGCCGTCTCCTTTTCAATTCCTTTCCTCTGCAACGACACCAGGAAGGCCTTCCTTCCTGCTGCCCACCGTTAGCACCTGTCTAACATGGGCCACTCGCCTGGCCTGGTGTTTTCGTCCACTGAATTCATTTTTACAATGGCTGCCTACGTGTGGCAAATGATACGGTCTTCCTGTTTACAGTGTGCTTATATAAGGTTCCTCTTAAAAATACACACAAAAGGCAAGTCAGGGGATGCCTGGGTCAGTCAGGCTCAGTCAGTTGTGTTCCGCTCAGGTCATGATCTCACGATTTGTGGGTTCGAGCCCCATGTCGGGCTCTGTGCTGACAGCTCAGGAGCCTGGAGCCTGCTTTAGATTCTGTGTGTGTGTGTGTGTGTGTGTGTGTGTGTGTGTGTGTGTGTGTGTCCCTCCCCCGCTCCCACTCTGTCTCTCTCTCTCAAAAAGAAAATAAACATAAAAAAAAAGTCAAGTCAGTTTCATGAGGAACACGGAGTGTAGGAGAGGGCACAGCAGTGATGGTGGCACAGACTCTCTGCCCGGCCCCTCCCCTGCCTGGCTTCCCCCCTCCTGCCCTGTTCCCGACTGTGCTCCCTCACATCACCCCATCAGCCTCTGTGGACCATGTCTGGCCTGGCCCTCCCGAGCTGGGCTGAGCTTGCCCACCTGTCAAATCCCTGTGCCTCTTTGCGAAACAAGCTAAAACCATCACAGCACAAGACCCAGGTGTAGGTCACTCCGTCCATGCTCCCAGTGTGTGTCACGGAGCGTGACAGGAGTCTGCCCTCCTCAGGATGACTTGTGCCGTGTCTGTGGAGCTGGTGCTCGCCCAAGGCCCCTGTGTGCGATGGCTGGGTGCGCTGGAGCCCAGCTCCCTTGTACTGCCCTGCGCCCAGTGCACTCCCGTCCTGGCCCCATGCCCAGCCGGGTGTGTGTGCAGAGTATGGGACGGCTGTATGCCACAGCCTGGGTCCCGGGGCCGCTCACCTCGCAGGTTCTTGACGAAGTCCTCCAGCTTCATTTTCCGCTCAGGTTTGACGTTGGGGCTGTACATGTCTGTGTTGAGCAGGATGATGGCAAAGGCCAGGATGAAAATGGTGTCTGGGTTCCGGAACTGCCGAACCACCCCAGGGTTGCAGATGCAGTACCGCTGGCTGGGGGCCGGGAGAGGGAGCAGGGTCAGGACCACTTCAGTCAGGGCAGGGAGTGGGTCTAGCCCTCATGCACGGCAGCCACCATCACTTGGGCCCTGGCACCTAATGGCTGAGGCCAGGTGCTGCCTTAGAAGCCTCAGTTTCTGCATCTGGTAAACGGGGGTAAATAACACCTGCCAGGCAGAGGGCCGCTCTATCCACTCTCTCCTTCTCACACTGGTTACATCTCTCACCTGTATTTAGGCTGGCAATGACTTCTTAGGACGAGGACTGCATGCCTCAGTCTCCCTCGGGATTGGATACAGCCCAGAAGGTGATTAAGTTCTGGCCAATGGGATAAGAGCAGATGGGATGTGGGCATCTTCGAGGCTGTACCTTAAAAGGCAGAGCCCACTCCTCTCCCCTGTGGTGGTGGGTGTTGGCCCTGCTCCCTGGGACCCTGAGATGAAGGGAGCCCGGCTTGGGCTCCCTTCATGCCAGCTCAGAGGGAGATGCACTTCCATCTTGTTTCAGCCACGGCTGCTGGAGCATCTTTGTTACAGCAGCTGAAGCAACAGCCTCACTAATGTATTCTGCTTATTGTTCTCATTGCCTCAAATGTGCGCCCCTGCCCCAAACTCCAAGAGGCCCCCATCCACTGGGGACTTCAGGGGGAGCTGGGTGAGGGGGGCAGATCAGAGAAGAGGAACCATGGGGTGCCAGGACTAAGGCAGTGGCTATCACAGCTCAGATGACGTGGGCTTCAATCCTGCCTTTTCCATTAGTGCCGCCACCTCCAAGAAGCCCTCCTGGAAGGAAGTGCCTGAACAACGCCCCCCTCAGGGCCCCAGAGTTGTCCTCCTATTGTGTCCTCATTCCCCACCTTGGCCGCACCAGTGGTGCTGAGCCTGGAGGGCTGGGTCAGTGGCTGACTCATGTGTCCTATACCCAGCAAGGGCACAGAGGATCCCACCCAGTCACTGTGCACACAGTCCTGGGATGAATGACTGTAGGGTCGTAGCTGCCCTTGACTGTGGGCTTTGTCATGCTAGGCATGGGCTAAGCGTGCCCACACGTCCAAAGGGGTTCAGTCCTTCCACTCTGTCCAGGGTAGGTGCTTTCGTTATCCCCACTCTATAGGCAAGGACGTGAGGCACAAAGAGATGAAGTCACTAGTGCAAAGTCACACAGCTAGTAAGCGGTGGAGTGGGTGCTACAGCCAGGCCGTGTGGCTCTGCAGCTTGTGCTCTGGGTCACTGTGTGAGACTGGCTGCCCTCTGTGAATGGGCGGACGATGGGGACACGGGCTCACGAGTGAGTGACGCTCATGAGGACCTGGAAGAAGATGGACTGTCCAAAAGTCTGCTTCTGGCAATAACCAGCACAGCCCCTGGCATGCAGAAGGGGCCGCTGCCTCATCTTCCCAGGCAAGGGCAAGGCCACCTGACCCTGCTTAGGGGAGGGGGTGAAGGGGGATTCGGGCCCCGGCCCTGGGCCTCACGACCAGAGACCTTCCTCTTGCCCACGCCCACCCACGCCCTGCCTCGCCCCGGACCTGAACGCCTCGATGAGCCGCTCCACCTTCTGAGCCTCCCCTTGGACCCGGATGTGTGCCTGGAACTTCCGGAGAGCTTCGTCCAGCTCCATGGCGGAGAAATCCATCTCGTCTACCACACAGCTGGAAAGAGACACCAAGGCCACGTCAGCGCCTGCTGCCCGCAGGGCCTCTGCCGGCCTTCCTGCTGGGGGCGGAGCGCAAAGGGAGTCAGTGCAGGGGCAGGTGCTGAGCTGCCTGGAGCCTGGACGGCCGGCCGCCTCTTGTCCAGGAGGGTCCTCCGCCCGGCTTCCTCCAATCAGCAAACACTTCAGATTATGTAGCCCAAAGACCCCCCTGAAACTATGGGAAGACATTAGTGCTTATATCTATGTGTGTAATTTTTTCTTTTTTCTAAAAATTATTTGAGAGAGACAGAGACAGCGCGAGTGGGGGAGGGGCAGAGAGCAACGGAGAGAGAGAATTGCAAGCAGGCTCTGTGCTGCCAGCGCAGAGCCCGACATGGGGCTTGAACTCACACAACTGCAAGATCATGACCCGAGATGAAATCAAGGGTCAGACACTTAACCAACTGCGCCACCCGGGCGCCTCGTACGTGTGTGATTTTCTACAGAGGAGCCAGACAGAGCCTATGGCTGCTCCTGATAAAGGCTGCCGCGGCACAAACAATCGGCTCTCGGGGCACGCGGTCCACAGGGCACAAAGCGAGACGTTACTGCTCCGGTCTGCTCGGGCTGTCCGCGAGGGATGCCAGGAGCACGTGCCCATCTTCTCCAGGAGGAAGCAGAGGCCCAGGGTGCTAACTCGCGGGGCAGTGACTCTGCCCTGAGCCGGTCCTCCCACGTGGAGGGTTTTGGGGCGAGGTGCCTGGGTCTTGCCGGGGATTTTCGAGAGGCATCTTGGAGAACCCCTGCCATCCTCATCTGCCAATCCGCCGAGTGGAGGCGGAGCTGACAGAAGGCGCTGGTAACCGGGTTTTGGTTCATTCCACTCATCCCAGCGCTGCCCCCCAGCATAGCATGCTCCGTTTCCTGAACAGAGAAGGCGGGGTCTGCACCAGGGACCCACTCAGCAGGCTCTGGTGTCCAGTGTATCCATTTGCAACAAAGCCATGGTCACCCCGGGTGTGGCTGCAGAGGCCTCGGCCATGGGGGGGCCTAGTCCTCGCTTCCAGGGCCACCCTCCCTCTGTTGGGTGCCATGGGCTTGGGCATAAACTGTGCTGCCCCCAACTTCTCTGAGTGCTCACGGCTCTGGGGGCAGCATCCTCGGAGGCTGGGTCTGCAGAGCAGGTGGGGGAGGGGGATGGGGCCACACGGAGTAATTTTGCTGACTAGCATCTGAGCTGGACGCCTGGGGTGGGGGGTGCGGTTAGGATTGCTACTTCCTCAGGCTGCTGCTATTTTCTGATGGGGAAGAACAATGCCTGGATTTCCTACCACCAGCAGCCAGCTTGGGGTGTATGGGGGGGAATGCAGGAACGGGGGCAGGGGATGGGGGGCTGGCCCAAGACAGCCTTAGGCCCAATTCTCTAAGGACCTCATCTGCTTTCCCCTGGACTGCTTCCTGAGGCTGGGTTAAAGGGAGAGAGGGGCACTAGCCACACTAACAATGCAGCAGGCTTTTCCTGATGGGGGAACACAAATGCCAAGCAGGGAGAAAGCAGCCCAGGTGGGCATGCCCGGTGCCAGGCACAGCCAGCTGCCACCAAAGGCCTGGCTCACTGCATCCTATGTGCCTGCGCATCTACCTGTGTGTACAAGTGGGCGTCCGTGTGCCCGAATGAGGACAAACGTGTGTACGTGAGTCCAGGTGTGTGTGTGGGGATGGGGGGAGCACCGAGGCCAGCCCCTCCCTGAGCCGAAAAAGAGGCCGCAGGCAGATGCCCGCCTCCTCCCAGGGAAGTGTAGAGATGGCGGGAACACGCATGGCCAGGCTCTTCCTTATTGCAGAGGCGCCTGGCCCCAGCAGGCCCGAGCCCGCCCCCCTTGCTTTGTTCTTTCATCCCGTGGGGCAGAGCTGGACGGATGCAGGGCGCTGCCCTTGTTACTAACGGTCCGCTCTTTACCCTGCTCTGATTTCTGCTCCTGGCCTACATCCTCTGTGCAGCTGCCTGGTCAGGAAAATCCTCAACGGGCTGGAGGTGCTCCCCAGGCCCTGAGCCACCCTGTGCCATGCTATTCTGCAGCTTTGGCTCCTCCTCTGAGAGAGGGAGTTAGTGAGACCCGGCATCCCCTGACCCCTGCGTGAGGGGAAGACACAGGGCTTGTGCACAGTAACTGCACTACAACAGACCCAAGGGTCCAAGCGCAGGGTACCTGTCTACTCAGGGCAGTCTCAAGGAGGAATGGAGAGATTTGGGGTCCGAGCTTTTCAAACTGTCGGCAGTTTCCAGAGAGCTGGAAACCCGGCTTTCTGCAGAGTTCCAAGTAGCTGGGAGGGCTCTGGCTGTCAGCCATGGTTGGACTCTCACCCTGAGATCTCCCAGCCAGGAGAGGCAGGAAAGAGGCAGGGGAGGGAGGCACCGGGGGTCTCTCTGGGCTCCCCACCCCTCGCCCTGAGGGCGTGTTGGGACAGCTGGTAGCCAGGCTGGGGAAGGGAGCCCAGACCTCCAACCCCCCAGCCCTGCAGTGGCTCGGCTCTGCTGGAGAGGGATGGAGGTGCTGAGGGTGTGTGCCAGGGGGCCCGTGGGGTCCGTGTGTGACATACGGTGCCCGAGGGTGCAAGCACACACGTATGTGGCAGGGTGTGATGTATGAACCCATGGGGGGCGTCCGTTTGTGTCTCAGAGCAATAAAGAGATAAGGGGAGGATTGGGTGTATGCTCCAGCAAGCAGGCGAATCTGACGCTGCGTGCGCCGCAGGTCCCTG